AGAGAAAAGAAAGAGGAAGGAAGGAAAGAAGGAAGGAAGGAAGGAAGGGAGGGAGGGAGGGAGGGAAAGAAAGAAGGAAAGAAAGAGAGAGAGAGAAAAAGAAAGAAAGAGGGAGGGGAGAGGAGGGGAGAGGAGAAGAGAGGAGGGGAGAGGAGAAGAGAGGAGAGGAGAGGAGAGATAATGAGCCATGCTGCAGGCAAATGAGATAAACAAGGTTTCCAATGGGACACAGCTGAAGCCAACAGAACAGAGAAACCAAGAAACCCAGGCAGGACCATGCTGCAGCTGCAAGAATGACCAACGCTCCTCCTTAGACTCGCCCAGCACAAGGCCACGTCCTGGAAGCCTCAGCAGGTGAGTTCCCCCTTGCTACAGCAAGCCAAGCAGACCCAGCGCTGGGGATTACAGGGATGCTCCTGGGGGCTATTTTGTCTTGTGGACTGCATCATCATCATATTAACCAGAATTATTCTTACTAGATGCCGTGCAGTTTGCAAAGAACTTTACACACAATTCAAGGTGTTTCATGTTTGCCATAACCCTACGGGAAGACTATTATCATCATTATCTATTGTTATTAACCTTCTTCTGAGAGAGTAGGACTGAAACTTAGTGAGCGAAAGCCATAAAGGAGTGGAGCCCACAGAGAGCCTGTGCTCACTCTACAGCCACCTGCAGACACTGCCCTCAGCAAGCAAAGCCCTGTCAATATCCTGAGTGCTGGGAGGGGAACAGCCAGCTTTCTCTTGCGGGTCTGACTCCTAAGTGCTTGCTCTTAATCATCGTAGTTTACCACCTTTCTGCTTATATAGTCACTAAGCGAATTTCAGTCCTAATGCAAAATGCAAGAGGCATCCCATTCCAGTACACTTGATCCCAGGAGAACTTGTAAGACTTATAAATGCAAACACATTTCATTCCAAATAGGCACTAATCCCTCTAACAAGAGCGGGGACTCGTAATTCAAACACATGATTTGAGCTGATAACCCTGGAGCAGCCATCCTCCTTCAACTGTGTAACTGCCACATCTTAAGGGGCACCCCCAGGGCCAGGCTAGGTTTGTGGGGTCTCCCGGGGACACCCCTCATTTACAGATTCCCCACCAATGTGTAGGACCAGCATGTCGTAGGAGGCAGCTATTGGCCTTTGCAGTAATCAGAACAAGGCTAATATTGGCAATATAATCAGCAGGCAATGGTGACTAATCCATCAGTAAACAACATATTTTTCCACCCATATTGTTTTAGCAGCCCTGAAGCTAACCCTTGTATACCCAGTCATTTGCGTCAAATACTACTTCCTCCTCAAAATCACTGTTGGATATTTTCTTTTAACAAGGCTTCCCCGCCTCCGTTGTTTAGAAACGAATAGAAGATGCCCACTTGGAAAGAGTGTAGAGTGGAAAAAAAAACCTGAGCCGTAGAATCATTTGTTGTCAGATTGATTCCAAGCTGCACGACTTTCCAGCCTGGAGATCTTTGGCAAGTCACCTAAGTTCTCCAAGACTCTTTCTTCAAACTGGGGTAGAATCGTCTGCACTTCACAAGGTACAATAAAGACAAATGAGACAGTAGCATGAAATCACTCAGCACAGTGTTAATACCTCGGTCCCTTCACCTGCCAAGCAGACTTTGAAGTCAGAGTCTGAGCTCTGTCCAGCCTCATCACCCACTAGACATGAGAACGCAGACAGCTCTCCATGCCCTCAGAGCCTCAGCTGCCCTGAAAAGCAAGGATGGAATGCCCTTGAGTCCTTTCCCCCTTCCCCAGCTCCTGACCCTGGTCCTCAGGGGTGGCGGCGTTCACTGTGGCCCTTGGCATCTGCCCCTCATGTGTCAAGGAATAGGGCCCAGGCACCTCCCCGGGAAATCGCAGAGGCTGCACAGGCCAGATCTGGTAGGACCACGGACACAGTGGCTGGATCAGTACGTTGTTTTTTGTTTGTTTGTTTGTTTTTGAGATAGAGTTTCACTCTTGTTGCCCAGGCCAGAGTGCAGTGGCATAAGCTCAGTTCACTGCAACCTCTGCCTCCTGGGTTCAAGCAATTCTCCTGCCTCAGCCTTCCGAGTAGCTGGGATTACAGGTGTCCACCACTGTGCCTGGCTAATTGTTTGTACTTTTAGTAGAGACAGGGTTTCAACATGTTAGCCAGGCTGGTCTCGAACTCCTGACCTCAGGTGATCCACCTGCCTCAGCCTCCCAAAGTGCTGGGATTACAGGTGTGAGCCACTGCGCCTGGCCTATTGGTCTGTTTTCACACTGCTGATAAAGACATACCCGAGACTGGGAAGAAAAAGAGGTTAATTGGACTTACAGTTCCACATGGCTGGGGAGGCCTCAGAATCATGGCGTAAGGTGAAAGGCACTGCTTACATGGCAGTGGCAAGAGAAAACAAGGAAGAAGCAAAAGCAGAAACCCCTGATAAGCCCATCAGATCTCATGAGACTTATTCACTATCACAAGAATAGCACGGGAAAGACTGGCCCCCATGATTCAATTACCTCCTCCTAGGTCCCTCCCACAACACATGGGGATTCTGGGAGATACAATTCAAGTTGAGATTTGGGTGGGGACACAGCCAAACCATATCAGTGGCCAAGGGCTCGGGAGGTTGGGTGTGCACTGAGTCCAAGGGTGACTTCCCACCCCACCATCTGACCTCTCTGAACTTCAGTTTCCTCATCTGCAAAATAGAGCCAATAGCACTCTCATCTGTCTGTATTAGTCAAGGTTCTCCAGAGAAACAGAACCAATAGGACAGAGAGAGAGATTTATTCTGAGGAGTTGTTCATGCAATTATGGAGGCTAAGTCCCAAGATGGGCAGTCAGCAAGCTAGAGACCCAGAGGAACCGACAGACAGCTCTGGTCTGAGTTAGAGCCTACGGATCTCCAAACGTGAAGTGCCAGTCTGAAAGCCAGCAGGCTACAGGCCCAAGAAGAATCGATGTTTTAGTCTCAGTCCAAAGGCAAGAAAAGAACAGTGTCCCAGCTCCAGCAGCCAGGCAGGAGGAGCCCTTTCATGCCAGATTTTTTGTTCTATCTGAGTCTTCAAAAGAGATCCACATAGACTTCAACTGACTGGATGCAGCCCACGCCCATCAGGGAGGGCCACCTGCCTCGCTTGGCCCACCCGCTCAAATGCGGACCTCACTCAGCAATGCCCTCAGAGACACATCCAGGTAACACTCCACCAAATATGGCACCCTTGGCCCAGTCAAGGTGATGCATAAAATTAACCATCTCACCATGTCATTTGGTTGTTGTCAGGAGTCAATGAAATAAAGCATTTGAGTGGTTAAAGAGGTACACAAGATGTGTACCTATTACCACCGTCATCATTGTAACAGCAGGATATGGGTACATCCGATTCCCAACATTACTAAAGCCATGATGTGGTGATTGGGATGAGCTAAAGTATTAGAATTATCTTCTCCATGAGTTGGCCAGGCATGGTGGCTCACGCCTGTAATCTGTTCACGCCTGTAATCCCAGAACTTCGGGAGGCTGAGGGTGGGAAGATCACTTGCACCTAGGACTTTGAGAACAGCCTGGGCAACAAAGGGAGACCTCATCTCTACAAAAATCAAAAAAGTAACTGGTCATGGTGGTGTACATGTATAGTCCCAGCTACTCGGGAGGCTGAGGTGGGAGGATCACTTGATCTCAGGAGGTTGAGGCTACAGTGAGCCATGTTCATACCACTGCACTCCAGCCTGGGCCACAAAGCTTGACGCCCTGTCTAAAAAAAAAAAAAAAAAAAAA